GCAGCGGCAAGTGCAGTAAAACTTGAACCTGAGTGGACTTTGGAGCGTACGAAATCGAAATGCAAACGACTTTTGCTCAATAGTGTAAGCGTGCGAGCGACATCTCGCATTCGGCCGACTGGCCACTGGCCCCGAGCCAGTGCATTGAGCCCGGCCAAGCTGCAGTCGAGATCTGGCCAACTCACGTTTGTCCATAGAGCGGACTGCCTTGAACAGATTAATGGTCGTTAAACTAATCGAGGCCCGAAACTCTACAAACAGAGCTGTTACAAAAAAAAAAAAAAAAAAAAAAAAAACATATATGTATATAAATTTATATAATATACATACATATATTCTTCAAGTGAACAAACAATGCTAGTTTGAACTAACTTAGGTGTCAGCAGTAGACATCGCTTGCAGTTTAGATAATCGTTGTGTAAGATCTCATGACCTATGACTCAGCGTTAGACAGTTTTTAATAATAGACTGTAAGATCTATTGACTCATTCCCTTCCATAGGTGAGCATTTGACGGGAGAGTTTCGGGACAAAGTCAATCGTTTCCGCAAGCTGCCCGCGATCACCGATCACGGCTATCCGCTGTCCGAGAGCGTGGCCATATTCCGCCATCTGGCACGCGAGAAGCTAGTGCCGGAGCACTGGTATCCGCACCGTCACCTGGGCCGCAGTCGTGTCGACGAGTATCTCGCCTGGCAGCAGACCAACATGGATGTGGCGTGCACCGACTACTTCCAGCAAAAGTGGCTGGTGCCCTACCTCCAGAAGACGCGACCCTCCGATAATGCGGTAAGTGCGAAAATATTTCACCGACCTAAGAATATAGACAATATTTATGTAGATTATATAGACTACAAACCATAAATGTAAAGACTATATTACTACTATGTATATATTATAAATGGATATGCGTAGGATATTTGGTTCCTTACACTAGAACCCACCGATCCGATCTAGACTGATCGTAATCATTCCGGACTTCATCTTATATGTTGAAAGTAAACACAAATCATTGATTTTATTGCAGTTCTAAAACTAGTTTTTTATAGTTACCTGGATTCCAAAGCAGTACTGCAGCTGCTTAAGAAATGAACTTAACTTTGGCATTAAGTATATACTCTTCGAACTTTCAGTAAACTAAAGCACTTTAGTGTTCCAATTGAGAAAATGAGAATTATTTAGCTTTCATCAAAACTAACCGATTGCAGTCAGCGCAGTCTTGCTATTCTGATTTCCAAAGTCCCATATTTATCAAATACACATACATATGTATGTGTATCTAATTCATTATTTGAAGAGCCTGCACAGTCAGTCTAAAATATATAGTTTTGGTACCTTAAAAATGTAATAGAGTTATCGATTAAATTGAGTTATCGAAAAGATACCTATACTAAAAGTATAAGTCTCGAGCATATGTAATTTTTTAGTTTGTTGCAACAGTACGGAAAGAAGAGTATTAGAATGCAAGGAGGGAAAGACGGACTGATAGATGCCGAAGGGTGCACGAATAGTATATACTTTATGGGGTCTTCCACGTCCCTTTTTACTGCCGAATTTCCATTCTCACATAGCCATTGTAATTTTTAATTTATATTAAAGTACAAAATTCGAAAATAATTGATACAGGTGAATTCAGCTAGCAAGCAGCTGGAGCACACACTTAATGACTTCGAGGAGCTGTTCCTGAATTCCCGTAAATTTATGCTGGGGGAGAACATTTCGTATGCGGACCTCAGTGCCATCTGCGAAATAGACCAGCCGAGTAAGAAAATATTTGGGCAAATTCCATTTCGATAATAATATTAACTATATCGATAATATTTGCAGAGAGCATTGGCTACAATACCTTCAAGAACCGAAATAAGCTGGCCCGCTGGTACGAAGCTGTGCGCGAGGAGCTGGGCCCCTACTACACCGACGTCCAGAAGGAGTTCGAGGCCAAGCTGAAGCTGACCAATGATGCTGCGCAGGGCGAGAAGCAGGCGCAGGCAGTCAAGCAATGATCAGTTCGGGTCGCAACAGCTTTTGTTTATATAAATGTCTATATATGTATGTATATATACCCTGTACACATTGGAGGAAGGGTGTCGTTGGATGCTCACCTATTTTTGTCTGTTTCTCAGTTTGTTTATCATTTTAAGGTCGTTTCAGGATCGATCTAGTTCAAATATCTATCATAGCCTTTAGAATTAACTTTTTCATATCGGAAATTCGAACTTTAATTTTTCATTAGTCTTAAATCGCATCACTTCAGTCTACCCAATGTCTACAGGGTTAAAAATACGATATATTCGGTAACCGAAGATAACTGTTTATTTAGTACTTTTTTTTTTTTTTTTGTGAACCGTATGTATGTAGCTATTACGTATTAAACTGTGTGTATATTTTAAGAGAGCTATGTTAAAATATTGTACCGAAAGAAAACCCCGAGTTTTAGGCTAGTTCGATCTACATTGTAAAGCCGCTCTGATGTATTGTTAAAAATCGATGTTTTCTACAGACTTTTATGTGAAACGATCTACATATATGTACCTTAAAGATATTTGCCTACCTGTTCCCGCATCTATTCCACTGTGATGAGAGTATTCGGCAGTCGAGTGTAACCGACTGCGCAGTTCTCACTTGTTGAAATGTACGACTTTAATAAATTGGTTTTGTTTTTATTTTTGTTCTTGCTTGTTTGTTTTATGTTTATACTAAAATACCTTGAAAGTTATTGTATTTAATGACCTGCATCTAAAAATAATATATATATGTATATATATTTACTAAAATTTGAATTTGAATTTGAAAGAAAATTTGCATTTTAAGCCGGTTGCTGGTTTTGTTTTGGTTGTTTTCTTAAGTGTAGTAGATCTAGTCAAACATATTGATTTTACTCTGTGAAAGCGAGTGTATTGTGTTTTTTTTTTTTTTTTTTTTGGTTTTGTTTTGTGCAAGGCTCGTTCGTATGGCCGACTGTCCGTATTACCGCTACATAGTATATGCTTCCAATGCTTACTTATATGTACATCTGCTCTTGTCAGAGAAAGCTTTAACAGTTCGTTTTTTCATATTTATAAATAATAAATACATGTATATATGTATGTATGCGTTTATGGTAAGCTAGCTAGAGTGACAATTACAATTACATACATCGGATTTTAATTGTGAACGCACACATGCATCAATACACACGTTCCACAGTTTTTATAGCTTTAAGCTTGTGCCATCTCGCTCTCACTTAATAGGTATTTGTGCACATACATATGTTCCACAGTTATAGATAAAGCAATACGCAAAAATGTTCAAAAGAAGTTGTTAGAGCAGAGCCGTAGGCTATCCCGCTCTCGCTTCGTATGCATGTTGCCCGAACAGAGCTTACACCATCTCGCTCTAACATTTGCTTTTGCATTCAACTCTAATGGAAGATACATGTTTGTGTTGGTGTGTGAGTGTGAGTGTGAAGGAAGTCACAGTGCGTTTCGTTCTTATTGGCTATCGCATATAATGGAAGGCTTCGGTCGTTCTCTCATGGAGAGCGTCGAAAGCTGAGCATAAGTTTAGTACCAGAGACGGAGTAAATTCTGCGGCATGTTTGAATTTAACGAACAAAAGTAATTTTAAGTGAATCTGAACGAATCTGAAACCGATTTCATCTCAGCCAATACGGCAGGAAATGAGTTTGGGAAATACTTTTCTTTGGCACTTTTTGAAGTTGAACTAAAAATTGGAAGCTTTCGATCTTAAACTTAACTAGCAAAGCCATGTGGTCTTCGTTTGTGCATATAAACCGAGCCGCCTACTGGTCGTGTTTGCGGCTGGGATTCGCAACTTATCGATATTTAGTTTTTGTTTCGATACACACGGAGTGTTGTTCTGTTATTAGTTTGCATTGTTTCTAACGAGCTAGTCTGTCTAATTGCTATTCTGTTTGAGTACATATCCATATACAATATGCATGTATATGTACATACATACATGTGGCTTGTGCGCGGTAATGTTAGTTTTCTTTGATTTAGTTTTTGTTTTTGTCATTCTTTCATTTTGTTTTTGTTTAGTCAAAAGGCACTGCTGCATTCTAGCGCATTGTTCTCTGGGCTTTGCGATTCGCCCTCTCTCTTTACACGTACTTAAAAAAGTATGTCTTTTCTTTTTATTTATTTTTAAATTTTTTTTTTATTTTTAATTATTGATTTCTGCATTTCCTTATGTATTTGTGCATTAATGTGATTTTGTTTTAGCGCCCATACAGTATTATCTACGTTGTTCTCATTACACATACATAGTCCTAAAAAAGAAATATATATATGTACATGTATGTAAAATATACACATACATATATGTATATACAATAACTATTTGTATTTGCATTTGTATTTCCTCTTTGCAAGTCCTTTACAGCTAAAGCTTTACACATCAAAACTTGAAACATTTACAATACATTTTGAAGCACATTGAAAAAATTAATTTTCTCAAGTCTGACATACACAAATATACATATGTCCATACATACATACATACACTGATTACTTAAGAGAAACAGCAAACATGTTATAAATGTTTATATGTATTTGTTGTTGTTGTTGTTGTTGTTGTTGTTGTCTTTGTGCAATAGGAACACGCTCGGCCATTGGAAGCGTCGGGCGACCAAGACCAGATCGAAGCCTGATTAATTACAGTTATTAGCCAATATTTTGTTGCTGTTGAATTGTCTATCTAAATATACATACATGAACCGAGTGGATTCATTAACCATTCTCAATTGTGCATTGTTCTCAGTGTGCCGAAAAATACCAAAAAGCAAAAGAAAATGAGAAAATAAAGCTAAAACGAAAACAACTCGAATTACTGCTAAGGGAATATCCCTAATACTGCTCTATACATTGGTATAGTTAGGCATCCAAAACGGATGGTTTGCGGCTTTAAGAGCTGTGGCTAAAAGCAAATTTGATTTTATTTGAAACACTCGTTGGCTTTACACTTAAAACTTTTTCTAGCAGTAGTAAAAGTTGATTTCATTAATTTTTTTTGGTATTTTTTGGCACTCTGATGTCCTTTGACCGCCTACTAAGTTGCGTTTTGATTAAAAGCTTACATCTAGGTGACGCTTGAGCTGCTGCTGTCTATTCGAGCTGATCGTCTTGGCTTTGGTCTTCGTCCTCGATGGCGTCCTCGTCCTGCTCGTCGTGCTCGTTGAGCAGGGGACTGTCGTCGCCCAGCCGATTGGGCGGCAGCCCGCTGCCCGGCGTCGTGGGTGCCGAGCGCGAGATCCAGCCTTTGCGGGCGACCCGCCCGCGATTCACGAAGAAGTTGGCGCCGCTGACCACGCTGCTGATGGGACTCTTGAGCACGCAGCGCTGGGCCGCCGGCGGCGTCACCACGGCCATTGGTATGTAGAGCGCCTTGTTGGGCGGCTTCGAGGCGTAGAACTTCTTGGCTCTGCTGGGCGTTGCCGCTGTGGGCGTGGTCGCGGTCGGGCTCGATGTGGACTGCTGGTGCTGCAAGGAGGCCGGGCGCGCCAACGGCTTGGCCAGCGCAGCTTGCGGGAACTGCGGCAACTGCGGCAACTGCGGCAACTGCGGCTTGGCTAGCAGCAGCTGCTCGTAGCTGACGTCGGCCTGCAGCTTGCTAATCTGGTCGAGAATCTCGCGCACCTCGCCCGTCGGACTGGTCGCCTGTGGCGGCGAGCCGGGTGTGCCTATGTTCGAGAGGCTGCTCACGCCCGACACTGTGCTGCCTGTGGTCGGCGCCGCGGCCGCCGCCGCCGCTGCCGCCTCCACAGCCGACACCAGCTGGCAGCAGTTCTCGAGGCTGTGCAGCGGATTCGACTGGATGCAGCCGTTGTTGTACATCACAGGCGTGCCGCCGGCCGCCAGCGCCAGGCTGCAGAGGGACGTCGCTTGCGTGGCGACGCCGCTGGCCATGCCGCCGGCCTCGTTGGCCGCCGCTGCCGTCCCCGCTGCCGGCGCACCGAAGCCCGCCACGCAGCTGTTGTTCACGAAGATATCACTGAGGCTGCTGCGACTGTTCGCCATGTAGCGGAAGTGCTGGTCGCTCTGCGACTGCAGGAACCCGCCGCTCACGCCGCCCACATGCACCAGCCCGGCGGAGTCCATGGCCGACTCGTCGGGCGAGAAGTGGCCGCTGTGCGAGTTGTGCAGTCGCGTGCTGTAGTGGGCCGTGCCCGAGCCCAGGCCCACATTCCTGTCCAGGGCGACGGTGGCGTAGTGCGCGCGCGGCTGGTACTCCGGCTCCACCAGCTGCGATGCGGAGCGAGGCAGGCCGTACTGCGGTGCCGCCAGCTGGCCGTTGGGCGGCGGCTCTCGGTTGGCCCCGTAGTGCAGGCCGAGCTCGGGGCTGGCTGCACGGGAGTAGGGCGGCGGCACCAGCGTGTTGGCCTCGTTGATGTTGCAAATGAAGCTGGAGCTGAGCGAGTCCACGGTGCTGGCGGCGCTCAGCGAGCCCGCCGGACGCACAATATAGTTGCGAAAGTATTGCACCATCAGATAGCTGGAGCCGGCGTTGCCTTTGCTGTTTTCGTTGTTGCACGTGAAGACGAGCGGATAGAGATCCGGCTTCGAGGTGACCTGTCGAAATCAGATAAATCCTTAGCCTGAGCTCAGTCACTTAAATTAGCAGATCAACTCACCTCCGTGTAGGGCGGCGGCGGATGATGGAACGAGTTGCAGCGACTGTACTGCGGCGGTGCATAGCACGAGCCGGCGGAGTCGCCCTCGGATTGGGTGTGATGCTCCGTGAAGCCCCAGCCGCACAGTGTGCGACGCTTCTTCCAAAGCGAGTAGGCACAGAGGATGGCCAAAATGACGGCCACCACGACGCACCTGCGGGGGGAGACAAAAGTAAGACAGCGAATCAGTAAGGATTGCGCTCGGAGTCTGTGCGAGGATCTCTTACTGCTCCGTTTGCAGTTGGCGCGTCTGTATGAAGAAGCCCATGGAAGAAGCCCAGTGGACGCACCGCAGGCAGACTCGAGTCGAGTAGAGACTGCGGCTGGCTGCGTTCGTAATCGAATGCCAACTAAATGGGCTGCCTATTCGCTTGGCTTTTTGGCGACGTGAGATTTGATTATGTGAGCGAACCGAAGGGGGTAAGAGGGTAAGACCCCTCTACCCCTCTACCCCCATGCCCCCATGCCCCGCACCACTATGGGTGGCACTGCGGTTGGGACAGTGACAGTGAAAAGAGCCAGTGTCTCATTAGTTGGCAATGCCATTTGGCGCTTTCTGTCTCGTCTGGGGATCCGGGGCCGGCCCGGCCCGACTTGCATAAGGCCTTGTCTTGACTTGACGCAACTCAGTCAGGGGCCAACTTGCTGCCAATAATAATACTCATACTCGCACTAATACTGCCTGACTGTATCTGCTAGGCCCCACACAATGCCAATCAGCCCCGGCCCAGCCCCGACCTTGAACGCTGTGCAGCGCCCCCCGTCCCGGGGGACGACGACTGCAGCCACAATGCATGCACACTAGATATATATCATTTTCTAAATGGTCCGCTACTTACCAAAAGAACCAGTGACTGATAAAGAACAGGTTCAGTACGTGCTCCGACGGTGGTGGCAGCTGCCTAGGCCCGCTCTGATACGGCGGACAGCAGCCTTGGGTGCAGCATTCCCGGGGCAGTGAACAGATGTGCCCGCCCTCGCAGAATCGTGCCTTGACCTGCGAATCGAAATGGAACGCAAAGAGACATCAGCTGCAGTCAAGACATCGCTACGAACAATTAAGCATATTAATAAGCGAGAGGAGTATGCTCCAGCAAATTAATTGCTAGAGCAAACAATTTGAATAAATGTTACACAGCCAGACAGATGGACAGACAGACAGGCAAACAGGCAGGTGAAACGAAACAAAGTAAAACAATCAGCTAACAAAGTCAACAAAACAATGAGGAGCAGTTCTATACCAAAATCGGAACAACGACTACAACTAGCTGCAGTAGATATGAATGTTATGACTATAATTAGGAAAATGATGTGCATAAAAGTATAGTAGTATAACAGTATAAGGGTAAACGAATATAACAGTATTTCAGTTAAACAGAGTAACGGTATAACTGCTTAACAGTATAACACTATAATATCATTAGAGTATACTCGTATAACAATACACCAATCTTAAAGTATGATAGTATATGAATATTTCAGTTGAACAGTAAGTATAACAGAATAATAGTATCGGGTATAACAGTATAACATAATACCAGTATAACAGTACATCAGTATACCAGAATAATAATATAACATCAATACAATATAGCCGTATAACATTATGCCAGTATAACAGTACATCAGTATACCAGAATAATAATAGTACATCAATACAATATAACCGTATAACATTATACCAGTATAACAGTACATCAGTATATCAGAATAATGATAGTACATCAATACAATATAACCGTATAACATTATACCAGTATAACAGTACATCAGTATACCAGAATAATAATATAATATCAATACAATATAACCGTATAACATTATACCAGTATCAAATTATAACAGATTAATAGAAAATCAGTATTTAACGGAATAACAGTATAAGAATGTACCGTTTAACAGCACACCAGTATAACAATATATAAAAGTAAAGCAATTTAACTGTAGGTATCAGTTAACTGTTTAATTGTAGTATCCCAATATTACAGCATTTAAGAATAGCAAGATAACAATATAACAGTATAACAATATTGATGTTCAATAATGTTACAGTAATAAAGGATCACAATATAAAAGCACATGAGTATATCAGTAAAGTTATCGAGCGTAAGCCCGAAACCGAATTGAAGAGCAAACTATTTAAAGCTTTAAAGTAAGAAAATGCTAGAGCTGTTATTATGTCTATAAGAGGGTTGCTATGGCTTTATTCAAAGATTCACATTATATTATTCTCGCATAATGCATCCAAACTATGAATATTAAGAATGTCTTCAGTTTCAATTTGAATAAACAAGAACAGAATTGCACAAGAATTTCTTAATTATTTGCATATATGTATGTAATCTAAGGAAAACACCCCAGTTAATCCAGGGTATCTGCCTAAATGTTGTGCTGCCTCTATGTAATTTTGGCAAATGTAATTTGAGCTTGCAACATTTATGTGGGGCAGGGACTGGGCGCTGCGTGCTGGGGGCTAAGGAAACTTACTTGAACGGGCAGCCGCAGCAGAGCGAAAAGTATTGGAAATAGACGGAGCATTGTTGAAGCATGAAACCACATGGTGGCCACGATGTTGTCCAACTGGCGCCAAATGTCGATTGGGGTGGATCGACTTGCCCTGTCTGGGGATGTTCTTGCTGCTGCTGCTGCTGCTGCTGCTGTTGTTTCTGTTGTTTAGCTGCAGGCTGTGTTGCTGTTGTTGTTGTTGTTGTTATTCGTGTGATTCTGTTTTTCCGTTTTTGGTGCTCTTGAATGTTTGAGCTAGTTTCGTGTCTCGATGATTTTTGATACCCTTTCGCTTACAATAGGCACACACACACACACGCACACTTACACACGCACACAAATATACACGCACGAACGCACGCACGCACGCACACAGGCAGACTAGACGCCAGTCGCTACATGGCAGGGTGTTTTGTTTTGTCCTTGACAGACAATGCAATTTTTCGCTGCATACTTTTGTGCTGGTTGCCAAACGAGCTGCCTCAGTTGCCTCTCTTGTGTTTGTTGTTGTTGTTGTTGTGTTGTTGTTTCTGAGATGCAGCAACTAAGTGCCTTTTCAGTGTTTACTGCAGCGTTAGTCGATAAACTTTGAAAACGCAAACAATTTACGCATGTCTGTGCATGTATGTAGCTATGCAAATAGATGACAGCATAACGACACTAACACACGCACACACACACGCACGCGCGCTTATACAGCTAAAGCCAAACGTGTTATTTATTTAGTTTCTATACTCTTTTAGCGTCAAATATTTATTGTAATATTTTTTCTCGGTCGATTGTGTTCCTCTAGGTACTCCAAGCACTCACACAGACACAAAAAAAAAAACACACTGTTTTCGTGTAACAGCACTTTGCCAACGGTTTTCTTTATGCTCTTTCTTCGCGTGCCTTAACAGTTGTTGTGCTCTCTGCTCCTCCACATTTGTCAGTTGCTGCTGTTGCTGTTGTTGCTGTTGTTGTTGTTGGCAGGCAGGCAGGCAGGCAGTAAACAATTACAGAATACGAAAATGTTGTTGCTGCCCACCGAGGAGCCAACGGCTGGCTGTCGCTCAAGCTCAGCTAGAGTTCAAACTGCAGATAGCGCGTGCCGTACAAAGAGCACAAAGCCAAGCGTGCCACGAGCGTACAATAACAACTGGAAAGGTCTCTAACAAATATTAGAAGCAGCAAGCGACAGGCTTGCCAAGGCAACTGGGGCCGCGCCTGCTGCTGTGCTAGAAAAGCTCTCTTCGCTTTGCCAGACGCTGCCAACCCTTACAGCTGACTGCAGAGCTTTGGGCGAGCTTGCAAAGCTAAGCAATAAACAAAGCTGTGTATGTATATGTATATGCATTTGCATTTGTATGAATCAACTTACACAATACATATGGATGTATATACATACATGTGTATATTTTTGGGCGTTAAAAATAAACTCAGTTTTGAGTGTTGGGCTCTGAAGCTTTCGCCGTCTCACGCAAATCAATACCAGAGGCAGGGTTTACGATTTGCTTGAATTGAATTAAAGTAAAATGTTCCGATTTCTTTAAAGGAAACTTTTTATACGTTCATCATGTCCAAATTACAAAATCAAGCACGTAGTGTATAGCGCTTTTGTGCGATGTTAGATACTAGAAATTGGGAATACCTTTGTCTTAAAAGCTGGTTAAGATGTAGAATAATACGGGTAAAATAAAACATTTCGAAATGTTGGGAGCGTACATATCTAGCGTGTAAATTCATATTAGGTACTTGTCTATGTTATTTCGTGCAAAGTTATTTCTATATGTTTTTATTTGTTGACTGAGTGGCCTTAAGTTTTTTAAATTTGGAAGTTTGTTTAAGTTTTCTGTTTAACTAGGTTTTAATTATATTGATTTATCATTACACTGATCAATTAGCAAATTGAGTGTCTCGTCTGTTTCAGAGTCGTAGGTAGAAACAGACAGCGTGGGTACAAGCCTTGTTGAATTGGCAGCAAAGCAGTGGATTGCTTTGGCTTTTTTGCGTTTGGTTGGAATAGTAGCGAATATCTCGGGGCGAAATTCTCATTAGTATTGGCCAGAGGACGTGGTTCATTCAGAATTTGCTGACTTGAATTAGCTGGATTGATCTTTTGGCCATGATTGTCGAAGATAATAAGCAACTTAGATTAAGCCAAGTGTTATTTGGTCAATCTTGGCTGTAGGCAATGCACTCTTCATCGCTGAGGGCACCAAGTGGGAAGACGAAAGTCGAAGCAATCGATTCAATGAGTCAATTACCCACCAGAGGCCAAGAGAGAAGACAGTTTATGTTTTCTCCAAATTTTGAGAATCGTAAGCTTTCAGAACCGATAACTGCAATGGAGTTGAATATGCGTGTGCGCAGTCTGAGAAGAATGTGTAAGTTTTTGTTTTGCTTTTGCCTTGAGGCCTTGCCCTGTAGACGGGCATAGCCTAAACTATTTTATTATATATTGCCCTAAACTGACTTATGTCTACTATTACATTTTTCCTTGTGGCGATCTGGCACCATGATTTCCCATTTTCAATGGGATCAGGGTATAACAAGTAAGAAGGCTCCAGTCCATTCTAATGATTCTGTACTTCTTTATACTTCTTTATACATACATTCACATGCATCCGCACGCATGTATAAAAACGCGCTCTGCGAACAGCGCAGTAAGCAGCGACTGCGCTTGGACGGCGCTGCGGTGTGGGCAGGTTTATGATAATTTATTTGTTGAATAATTTTATTTCTAGATGTACAATCTTATTGAAACTTTCAGAACGTAATGTTCAAATGTATGTACATCCCAAAGCACAAGTTTCTAGTATTTGAAATGCGTGGTTTAAAAATTGGGGGCAAAGGGGGCGTGGTATCGAAAATCTGTTGATTACAAAATGTTTGTATTCATCATATGAATATACACAGTAAATCTGAAGTTTCCAGGTCTAATAGTGCTCAAATGAGGCTGAAAAAACAAAATCGTATTTCGATTATTCTCGTTAAAAAATTATCGGATGATTTATGTACAAAATAAGATAAACTCGTACTGCGTATGGTATACATGAGTATGCATTCCAATCCGCTGAGATCGACGCAATCAAGCAGACGGACGGACAGGGCTATATCTACTCAGATCGTCGTGCTGATCAAGAATACATATATTTTTATGGGGTCTGCGATGATTCCTTCTGCCTGTTACATACTTTTCACAAAACCATTATACCCTGGTTTCCCATTTTCAATGGGTTCAGAGTATAATAAGCCATTCGGGATAAAGCATACTTCGGTTGCTTACAACGCCTTTGACAATAACTGCATCCCCACATACTTATAGTAAATTAGTACTTATTTTGTATTTAAGTACAAAATATTTCGTAGAAATAATGGATATGGCAAAGCAACGGTTGCCGGGTCAGCTAGTATATATATGTATATATTTTTTGAGCCTGTAATGGAGTTATCCTGTATCACACTTTTCGGGTCAGACTATCAAACCTTGAATTACCTCTTTTGATTCAATTCTAGGGCTTGTTTTAGAATAAAGTTCGTATATATTGTGTATGGCTCAAATTCGAATAGCTTTGAAAAAAAGATATATATATTCACGACTGGCTTGAGTTATCTGAAATATTAGAGGTATTCATAGTCATCGAAATAAAGAACAAATTTTGAAAAGTATTTTTTTTTACACAGTTGTACTCTCTGGAATAGAGTCTGCTGGTTTATTTGCCATCAATTTTGCTTGTAAAGTATTTAGTGGGAGAAATAGCCAATTGTTGGGTCCTTAACTCTAAGCGCAACATAAGACTCGATTGCTTTGTTTGCTGTTTGCCTTGTTCGTCGATTGGGCGTCTAGAACTCCTTGTTGCTCTCCCAGGCGGTGTGCACGCCGTGGTAGCTGTTCTGCCTCTGGGCAGGGGCGTTGCGGCCGAAGGGGCTGCTGGGGTTCACCTGGAGGATGTAGTCGCCCTTGATGTCGTAGGCGGCATCGATGCCCATGTAGGCGCGCTTGCCGTAGCCGTCGTTCTGCTTGTACTGCTTAAGGGAGTTGGCGGGCACGGCGGGGAAGCTGCGCTCGTAGCCTGGGCGCACGGACTCGGCGAAGAAGCGGGTGGCGCGCATGGTGGCCTCAATGACGTTCTCAGCGCCGGGAACACCGGTGGACGGGCCGTTGGGATAGAAGTCGACGTCGCCGTTGCGGGCGGGTGTGCCCATGCCGTAGACGGACGTGTGGATGACATCAACGAACTCGGCATCGCCGCGAGCCAGTCCGGTCAGGGTGTTGCGGTTCTTGGCGACAATGTGGCTGGGGTCCAGGCCGGTGACGCGGCGCAGCTTGTGGCCAGTGAGGCGGGTGAACTCGTTGGCAGCAGCGCCGGCAACGTGAGCGCCAACATTTTCGCCAATCACGTGGATGGTCTCATAGGGCAACTGCAGCTCGCTGGTCAGCTGGGCGATCCACTTGCCGAGCTTGGTGCCGGTCTTCTCGATGTCCAGCATGGCGTAGCGCTTGTAGGTGGTCAGGGTGGAGCCCAAGTCGATCACCTGTGGCGAGGGTATTACAAATGGATGCATAAGTGGAGCTCTCACTTGACGCGCTCCCTGCCCTCGCGCTGCTACTCACGATAATGTCGCCAGTGTTGGTGTTGGCAGTCTTGGCCTGCTCGCTGTAGTCCTCCTCGCTGGATGTGCGCGGCTGCTTGTTGTCCTCGTCGACGTTGCTGCTGTACTTCTGGGCCTGCTGCTGCTGCTGCTGCAGGTTGTAGCGCTGCATGTAGGCCTGGATGAGCTTGCGGTTGGCCTTCTTCACAGTCTCGCTGGTCTGGGGCAAGCCGGTGACAATGATGGTGACCTCGTCCTGTCCGAAGTTCTGCTTCTGCTTCAGGCGGTGGATCATCTCGTTGATGGGCGCCACAATCTTATCGCCGTTGGGCCTGGGCACATAGACTTGAACGTTGCTGGGCACAAAGCTGGGCTCCACATCGTGATTGATCTGCGACAAGTGATCTGGATCGAGGAGCAAGGACGACCATTAGCCAAGGGCCAACTACTGGGCAATTTCTGTCCAAATACTTACACACTTGCTGCAGCAGCTCGGCGCCCTTCTCGAGGGGCATGCTCTCCAGACGCTCCAGCGTCAGCTCATCCACGGCGGGAATCGACTCCAACTCCTGCACGGACAGCCACTGGGATGGCTTCAGCGCCTGGTTGACGCTATTGCCGCCCATACGGGGGGCTGGGCCGGCCATGGCCGCAACGACCAGGCAAGCCAAGAGGCTAAGCACTCGCATCGGATTCATCGTGTTCTAGACCAGGGCTTCAACTACTGCAGGAACTTCACTGAGCTCTCAATGTTGCTATGAGTTGAACTGTCTTCCACAGCGGCGAGCTACACATTTTATAGCACCCAAGCCCATTCGCATTTTGCACTGTCAGAGAGAGCTCAAGCCACAAATGCAGCGTTGCAGTTTCTAAATATGTACAAATACATATACATATGTAGAGTTTGACAGCTGATAGGTGCCTACGTTTGCTTGATACCTCACGGATCCCCCTCAGCCCGCCTCGTCTCCTAAGGGCCTGCAACAAACTAAGCTGCCTGATGATAGCAAACTGCTTGAATGGGCAAAATTTTGTAATAGCCGCACAAGCTACGCAAATACATTGTAAGACTATACGATAAGGCTATGCATATATAGACTATAAAATAACTAATATAGATGCAATGAATGTACTTAAGCTGCTCTCAACTACCGTTAGATGAGTCCCATAGGAATTTCGAATCTAGGCTAACAATGATGATGCTAACCTGCGTCAAACTTCATTCCCTTACAAAGCTCATATGACGAAATTATCTCTTATGTCTGTAGTTTGTGTTTTGTTTTAATTGAATACAATAACATATTTAGTTTCGGTTTTATTCTATGAAAAAGGGAGATTAGAAGATGGAAATTCTTGATACAAACAAGTTAAGACTAGCTAGGAAGGATGGAGACTTTAGGCAGACACTCAATGCGAGAACCTAATTCATCGAACCTATATGAAAGTGAGGAAATGTGAAATTACTTTTTAGCTAAATATATATATGAATATATATGTTTATTGAATTTTTGTACTCATTCACGAAAGGGAAATGAGTATATTGAGTTTGTGCTGTCCGTCTTGCTGTCCGTCCGTCTGACCGTCTGCCCGACAGTCCGTCTGTCCGTATGATCGCAGCTCATTGCGGCGTAATTGAAGCTAAAGACTTTAAATTTGGAACACATACTCGTATACATATATCTCCGATTCATAAAGTGTTGAAATTCTCCGGATCCGCCCACTAGAGCGTGACAAATCCGAAAATGCTTTTTCCGCTATGCCTGAAATCATATTAGTTGAAGAACTAGAAAACTGAAATTCGGAATGTAGATCCGCATCGACCATCCAAGATCACGAGCTATGGCGGATATATCTACGTCCATTGGGGCGTGGCAAATCAGATAAAACTGTATCTCATAGAATTTTAAAGCTAGAACGTTGAAATTTTGAAATTTAATGTTATGATACTATAAAGATTGTTATGATGAAAAAATTATAGGTCTACGCCTTTTAGGGGCGTGGCAAATCGGACTCGAGACTCGAGCAGTCTCCACTAGAGCTTTCTCAGTTGTTTATGTTATATGTATTTTTGCTAGATGTACATACGTATGTGTTAATATCCAGCTCTTTAGAATTGTCAACATGCATAAATAAAAATCTCTTACGGCTGTAGAAAGTTAACTTTATATACATAAATGTATATTAATATGCATAAGTAGACGAAGGTGTGGAAACTCGAATTACATACATATATTGACTTTAGACTTTATAACTGCGCCATAATTCTGAACGAGTCTTGTGCAGTCGGCTATGCTCGTTCTTGTTTGAAATATTCGATTTACGAGAAAGTTATGTAAGAGCCTAGAACTTTCGTAGTCGACCGCTGTTTTTTTTTTTTTTTTGTTTTGTTTATTCATATGTTTTTTTGGCCAAGTAATCAATCGAGCGGACAGGCTACTCATTTCCGACGGAGTTACAGGTAACGAGCATGCAATACAAAATTGACACCGCTCTTATATATATGTATATATATGTATATATATATATACATATATATATTCTGTACTTATATTTGCTTATGCTGCTCTTCTGCTATATACATGTTTAATATATTTTTTAAATCTCAATTATTATTCAATGTCTAAAACAGAATATATTCTATACGAAAAATACTTACATATATTCAATATGAATTATAAAAATACTTATATACATGTATTAGAGAGAAACAGATCAAAACAAATTATTTTTAAAATTTGAGCTCTACAAGTTGGACCCCGGATTTGGCACGCCCCACAAATGCTCATATTACCCACAATTGTATATTTTATATTTCAAACTGGACGTTGCAATACGAAAACGCTGTTCATATAGACGGACGAATATTCTGACAGATTGTGAGAAATTGCAAAAAAAAGAAACGATATATAATTTCATTCAAATGAGTATAAATTATTTCATTCCCAAAGCCCTTTAAATGTTAAACTCGACAATAACCACATGCTAAAATGATAAATGTTATATATGTACATATAGGTTCATATACATATACATATGTATACAAATATGTTTTTGTTTAGATCTATTTTTCAAGCCGCAGCGTTTTATGGTTCACCAATGTAATCAGATATAGCCAAATGTCCTATAAACTAACTACAAAGCAAGCAAAAGCCACCTCCTTTAGAATTGTAGTTCTCAGTGCTATGTTACCTTATATTATCGTTCCCCAATATCACAAATTATCTTTAGAATTACCACATGAGATATGTATGTAATTCGTGTGTTCGTTACAATTCACGATGCATTATAATAATGTAATACATAATAATATAAATCAAATTAAATTAAATACATAAGCATGTGCGTTAGTTGAGTTATGATGGGAGTTCTTCATTTACTTTTGCGATTACATATATTTTAAGGAAACAAGCGCTTTACGTCTAGCGCTAATAAGATAAATAAAAATATATAATATTAAGGTAACCTGAATATGATAGCAATATATTTTGAAAATTCGACATTCAATATTCTGTTTTTACCAATTGATATATATTTTAAAGTAAGCCTTGAGCATTTTACTAATATTAGTCTTCTATTACAAAATATATTTAGCATTGAATGAGTGACATGCGCTGGAGAGTAGAGAGCACTTGGGATGTGTCGCTCTATGCGGATACTCTGAATGCAGCCGCAGAGCTGCGTTCGAAATGCCGTCGACAGGGGCGAAGAATGTTTGTTAGATTTGCAACTAAGATTGCAATGCGATGCTATCGTCTCAGTCTAATAATAAATTTCTAGAACTAAGTCAAAGTCTGGTAGCGTCATCGGCTCGGCTCTTTAATCGCTTAGGGTTCATTGAATTGTAGTTACGCAAGAGGCTAGCGGCAACTGTTGACACAAGCAGCACATCAAAGTTGCCAAATTGGCATCGGCGAGCAGTCGAATGAAGGCAATGGAGGGGTAAGCGGGGCGGATGTGGTCATACCCATGGCCGATGCACAACTGATAAAGCGAAAAATGTGTGTGGAAAGTGCCGAGTCACCCGATCGATGATTGCCGATTTTCGATTTACATATCAAGAAAACTGTGCTGTCTAGAATTTCAGCGTCGCTTCCGAAAACTGCTGAGCCAGATGCACCCGTCAGCGCTCTGGTGCTTCCGCTGGCGGACACGTGAGCAGGTCTCCGGCAAGCGGCAGTGGGAGCCGCTATAAAACCGCCGGGCGATCGGCTAAGAGCATGCAGTACAGCTTGGTACGGCGTCTACGACAATAGAAGGAGACGGGCTTTGCTGAAACTATGAATCCTCTGCGCAACTTGTGTGTTCTGGCCTGCTTTATGGCCGTGGCCCTGGCCACGAACAGCTATAAGCAGTCCAACTCGCTGAACAACTACGACGACCCCAGCAACTGGGTCAGCATCAGCGAGATCGAGCAGCTGCCCATGCTCAAGGATGTGACCCTGCGCCGCCTCGAGGGCCTGACCGTCGATGAGGGAGCATCGCTGCTGGACAAAATGTGTAAGTATCTGGAGCTGGAGTGGAGGCGGCCCCTTCGTCTGCGTCACTGCTAATCTCTCTCCTCGCACAGATCATTTGGCTCAGTTCAACCGCATCTTCAAGCCCGAGTACGTGCCGGAGTCCAGCCAGATCAAGGGCTACTTCGTCGGCGAGAACGGCCAGAAGATCGAGTTCAACTTGGACAACTTTGTGCAGACGGCGAAGCGCCAGACGAACTTCGGCAACGACGAGGTGACCATTTTCATTGAGGGCCTGCCCCAGTCCTGGAGCCAGGCCAACAAGGCCAACCGCAAGCTGATCGAGGCCTACGCGCAGCGCTACAACCTGCAGCCCTACCCCAGCCAGCAGGAGGCGGATGAGCAGAAGAGCAACAGCGACGAGCAGGTAGAGCAGGGCCGCAAGCAGAACCAGGAGCAGGACGACAAGACGACCGGCGATCTGGTGGTCATCGCCTTGGGCAACGTGATCGGGGACTTCGAGCAGTTCGTCACCCTGAATGTGGAGCGCATTGGTGAGATCATTGGCGAGCGCCTGGTCGAGCTGACCAACGAGGTGAACGTGCCCCAGGAGATCATCCATCTGATCGGCCAAGGACCCGCCGCCCATGTCGCCGGCATCGCTGGCCGCCACTACACCCGCCAGACCGGCCACAAGCTGCGCCGCATCACTGGCCTGGACCCCGCCCGCCTGTACGCCCAGCCCGACAACAAGCTGACCGGCTTGGCCCGCGGCGATGCCGACTTCGTTGATGCCATCCACACCTCCGCCTACGGCATGGGCACCCCGCAGCGCCTCGCCGATGTCGACTTCTATCCCAATGGCCCGGCTACCGGTGTTCCCGGCGCCGACAACGTCGTAGAGGCCTCTCTGCGCGCCACCCGCTACTACGCCGAGTCCGTGCGCCCCGGCAACGAGCGCAACTTCCCCGCTGTCGCCGCCAGCTCCTACAGGGAGTACAAGCAGAACAACGGCTATGGCAAGCGCGCCTACATGGGCATCGCCACCAGCTACGACATCCGCGGCGACTACATGCTGCAGGTGAACTCGAGGAGTCCCTTCGGCCGCAACACCCCCGCCCAGACACAGAGTGGCTACCACGCCTACCACCAGAGCTGGAAGCAGCAGCAGCAGCAGAAGAGCTTCGTCTAAGCGATCTCCCCACCCCCCCACGAACCATTAAGCAATCCATCAATAACTCGAAAAGAACGACAATGCATTTTCCTTCCACATTGATTGCCTAGTTTACGCTTAGTTTTCAAATACAAATTTTTGCATCTTTAAAAAGTACTCCAATCGCCTTATCAATTTATTTACTTTGGATGTTTCCAACAACTCTGAATATGGTTGACAGTTCTATAATATGTGATAATATGGAAGATCGTGCAAGAGAGTCGCTCAGCCTCTCAGAAATCAAATTTGTGTGGCTTCATATATTTAGCCAGGGCTTGTTTATGTCATAAAAACTAGAAATATGTGTAGTCCTATTAAAATACCTCTCTAATTTCAGATGAATATTTTTAATTGGGGAAGGAATGTATATTGATTTTGTACCATGTCGTTCCTGCTGTCGTTCACCTGCCGGACTGTCGCACGTACGTTATTCATTTCGGTCCCGAGCTTTCATATTTGCATATAGCCCTATATGGGATGATTTTCTGAAGATTTCCATGCGAACTAGTTTTTAATGGAACTTATGTCTTATATGTCTGAACGCGTCATTCATATAACCTTTAAGATCTAGAGACTTGAAACTAAAAAAATTAGTACTCTTTTAATGATATTTTTAAAAGCATTATTGGAATTCAGTTATACAAAGTATTCAGGCAAGAGTTTCTATCTTTTGTATTCAGCCTTTGTGCTGTTTGTGATTTGTGCTGTATTTTGCATAGCGGCTTAAAGTATTGCCAAATTGTCGACTACTTTACCGACTCGACTCGACTCGACTCGTCGTCATTCCAATTAGCTCTTTACAGAGTTATTTCGACTACTAACTTTTACTTTGCTTCCATCTTATTCCATTTCCAATCCATAATATATCTATATATGCATATATGTCTTATACTTTTACATATCGTAATCTATATTATATTATTATTATTATAATTTGTATATGGAAAGAAACAAATTGTATTCTACTTTTATATATATATATTTATTTATTGATTGATATTGCAGCAAATGACAGTTCGTATAATATATACCTACATAGATATGACATATCGTACTTGCATTGTGATCTGTGTGGCAGCAAGACACACAAGTATTGAGTATAAGCAACCTAAATTTTATATTTTCATATAACAATAAAGAAACAATAAAAAAAAAAACAAGATATTCGAATTATCTTCGGGCAACCGAAGATTGCATACAATTTTTGTAGCTGGAGGAAAGTTAGATTCGGATTTATGTGGATTAGATGTGTTCCAGGGGTATGGATTTCGTTCGAGGCTCAGCTCTAAGATCATTAAAGGCTTTTCTTCCCATGGCAGCTATATGATATATGCGACATATGTACACGACATGTATGAGAGGGACTGGGGTGCAGAGGAAAGGACAGTCGGACGGACTGACAGAGGCGACATAGACCTAGGAGCCCGGTCAAGGTATGCAAATGACTCTTAAATAAAATTGAAATATAAATACATACATATATAGAGAGACATAGATGTGCATACATACACATATATATCTATGTATATGCTCGCAACAAAAAACTATTCACAAGAGAAAAATGATGTGCAAAGTGAGAGATTCAAGGATTCGTCTTCCTTTTGGGAGGCGTGCCTTGGGTCTGCACTCAGTCATTGACCCCGTCGATCGCATTCCTGTCTCTGCCTTAATCGCGACAGACTCGGCCATCGCTGGCCGAGGTGAAGATACACATGCCGCTGTCGCCGTCGTAGCTGAGGCCCTTGGGGCAGGTGTACTCCCAGCCGACGATGCCGCCGGTGCCATCGAACTTGGCGCACGAAATGAACTTGCGACAGCTTAGCGGATGCGGGAAGTTGCCCTGATCCCGGCACTCGATGATGCCCTGCCCGTGAACGATCACCTTGGGTGCCCGGGACTGCGGCTTGCGCGCCTTCTCGCTGCGCCGGCGCGTCGGACTCGCATCCGAGCTGTCGTAGTCGGCGGCGCCCGAGCGACGATTCGATGCGGATGCGGATGCGGATGTGAATGTGGCGGTGGCTGTGGCTGTGGCCAGGGCAAGCTTGCTGGGCGGCCGATTGTAGACCTCGATGTACTTGTGCGGCCGTCGTCGACTCTGCTGGCGACGCGCTGCCGGCGGCGAGCCTGCGGCAGAGCTGCTCGAGGTGGGCGCAGGCGTGCTGGACTGGGGCCGGCGAGGGCGCGGTATCAGCTGGCGGCCTGCAAAAACAACTGGATTACACCCGAGTCCAGGGCTGTGCATAAGAGCCAACTCACGAGTGCCATTAGGCACAAAGCTGAGCGCCCGTTGGGTCGTTGTGCTCGTGCTGGTGCTCGTGCTGGGGCTGGAGCTGGAGCTGGAGCTGGAGCTGGAGCTATGGAGTGGACGCAGCTGCTCCGCAATCTGATTGAAGCGACTGGTGTGTATGCTGGAGCGAGCCACCTGATCATCGTCATCCTCAATGCCATACAGGAAGGTCGTCGTCTCGATGGACAGCGCTGTCGTGGTCGAGCGCGGCGGCGGAGGGGTTGAGCCGAGAGTTGGGCGTCGCTTGAAGAGCGGATTTTGGGTGCGTGGTACATCTGTGACTGGGAGGGAGGTAAGATATAGATGTGGAATATGTAGAGCTATTCTTTCTTTATATATTTTCCCAAGATAGCGCAGCAATTGTAGTGCTGCTAAATAAATGCCAGAAAATCTTTGGTATTTTGACAAATGGTGAATCTTATAGCTCTTGATAAGTAAGAATCAAATGTAAATTCACTTCACCTATACTTCATTTCAGATTGTCTCTCAGTTTGTATGATTGCTCAATTTAGGAATATTCTTCTTATTCTTCTCCATTCATCACTTTATTCCTACAGAATTAAAAATCGGGCTCTTTGTTGAGTTACCGAGTTTTTTTCATACAAGTTTTAGGCACCTGAAGTTCATCATTTCACATTTTTGTGCTCGATAGTAAGGCGACTTTAGGCTGTTGTGGCTCTCGTCATATTACAGCCGAATTGGCAGAGCTGCCGAATCAGGAGCATCTGCTCTATTCGAACCATGCACTGTGAGGGTTCGTTTCTTACTACGAGCTTCGGCTGAGTGTGATCGAGCCGATGCATCGGGAGAACGAACAGGCAGAGTGTGAGAGAACACGGAATGGCTTACGAAGCTAATTGATTGCGCCGATTCCGCTCTTAAATTGTCGCTGACTCTATCGCGAAAGTGAATTGAGTATATTGGCTTTGCCCTACGTCCATTTCGCTGTTCTTGAAGTTAAAGACTTAAAATTTTGAAAACATATGAAATGGAAAAGAGCGACATATATACGTATCTATGTATATCGTAGTGACACATAAAAATATCTAGTTTTCATAGTTTTACATATGGGAACTCAAAAGATAAATAGTTTCCCTACTAATTTCCCACAATTTATTTAGGTATACGACCAGATCGGTGCGTGGTGAATCCAAATGTGGTATTGATAGTGCTTTGTCCGGGAATGAGTGTTCTGCAGTCGGTACCGTCCGACTGCAACATTCTTAGTTGCTTTAAATTTAAGTTTATATTGTGAGAGTGTTATAAAATTTTAAGAGCTTATGTAGACAAATAGGGAGAGTGAGAGCCAGAGACAGATACAGTTGTCAATGCTGACCAAGAATGTCATGAGCTTGCAATGTGAATCCCTGGACACATGCGCAGAGACAAAAAGTTGCTATCTCTCAAAAATTGTAATACGAGCTATCAGCTTGTGTTTATACACATATAGCTAATATTGACTGGAGTCGACTCTAGACTGGAGTCTAGTGAACTTTTGCTTGAATTATTTAAAATGTCGATGATTGAAGAAACTAAATTGAAATAGATTAGCTACATTTGCAGCTCGCAACACGAAAGCTAGAAAGTTGCAGAGACGAAGAGTGTCTTCCTCTCAAATGTTGCTATGCATAGCTGGTATTGATAATATAATCAAGAGAGTCAGGGTCAGGGATTGAGTTGGGCAAAAGCGCAAGCGTCGCGAGGGGATGGTGAATGGTGTTTAAGAAATACCCTCCCAAGTTCTTCAGGAATTAGAATATAGATTAACCCAATGTCGGATACTCGTTTATTTCTAAAATCTTCAGGCTATCGCCAAATGCGCGAAGCAAGGCGACGATCCAATAAGAAGCAGAATCCAATAAGAATCGGCCAACCATTATCGACGATCTGGCTATGTCCCTGAGCAAAAGCTTTTCTTACCGCTTTCGTCGCCATTCGCCGAGGATGGCGTCGTGGTGAGGCGTCGCGTTTGGAACTGGCGGCGCAGCGCATAGCTGGCCGCTTGGAATTTGTGCTGCTTGTCGGGGCTGGCGTTGATGTTGCTGGCGCTGCTTGTTGCTGGCGACAATGTTGCCAGCGGCAATGTTGCCGACGAGCTTTTGAGCTTGCTGAAGTAACTGTTGCCGTTGCTGTTGCTGTTTCGGCTCGTTGTTGCCGTCGTCGTTGTAATTGCGGCGGCAGCTGCCGAGTCTGGCCTGCTGCGCAGTCGACTGTATTTAGAGGTCGTCGTCAACTCTGCAATTTGCGTGGTTGGCTCAGACGCCGCCGTCGGCGTGTTGATTATTCGCCTGCGCACGCTCAGCACCGGACGACGCGAAGCGTTGCCAGCATTATGGCTGGGACTGAACGTGGCTGAGGCTGACGCCGCTGCCGCTGCCGTTGCCGTTACCGTCGCAGCCGCCGTCGCAGTCACAGTCGGAGCTGGCGTTGGAGTGGAAGGCACAGTTTGTGTGCGCAGCTGCCAGTGGAAAGATGTTGAGATGGGTCGATCGATGGGCAAACATGAAATGAAGCGAGCAATGGGAATTGGATGTTCTCGATTAATAATGCAAAATGTCAAGTGGAGTTGAATTCAAATTCACGTTCGATCGGTACTCTGCAATCATCACTTGCGTGTCAGTGCTTTGGTCGTGTGTTTTTTCAGTGTCTTTGTGTGTGTGTGTCTGTGTGTGTGTGGTTTTTTTCTGTGCGTTCATAAATTGTTGGTGTTTCTGTGATCGCAGTATCAAGAAATCCGCGCCGTGCAGTCAACAGCAATCTAGAAAAGCAAGCTACATGCTAAACAATTAAACAATTATTTATACTCGTGTGTGTATATATAGTATATATGTATGTACAATATGTAATATTAACCATATTAGATATAGCTCAATAATATGTATTTACTAATGTACTCAACTCTTACTATGCAATAAAGTGTTAGGCGTTGTGTTGTTCTTTCTTTTTGTCTGTGTGTGTGTGTGTGTGTGCGTGTGTGTGAGTGTGGGCGGGAAATTCGAATTAAGATACATTCTAAGTCAAAGTTATATATACATATAGCCTTGACATAACCAAGAATTATATGTATGTGTATATATGTATGTTCTTTGAGCAAGTGCCGCCAAGGTGATCGAGTGTCACAGGTAAATGCTCATAAATATGGACAGGTGACACACTTAAGAAATGCACTCAGGCATTTTAATTGAAGGACGTTTGAATCGGACCTATTGTGTGCACAGCTATGGCCAAGATGAGTCACCTGGGGGGCTAGCGGCCATACGATGCCAGTTGGCTAAGTTGACAGAGAGACTGACTGACTGACTGATTGACTGACTGTTTGTTTGGCGTGCATTGTGTGTTGGCCCTGTGGCTGGTTGACATTGGCGGCAAGTGGGAATATAATGATGCCAGTTATACAATAGAAACCCATGGAATTCGAGATGAGCCCCGGATGCTGGCTACAGTAATGCCAATGTCGCTTGCCACGCCCCAGAGTCGCTTGCGCAACATGAAGAAGAGACACTCGCAGCTAGACCAGCTGCCAGATGGACCGGCTCATTTGGCAACAGCAGCTGCATGCCAATGTGATTGCATAACAGCTAAGTCAGCCCAGTCAGCTCTTGGCTGTGTTGTAAAGATGTGCGCTTTGCTCGCTCATGGCTGTTAGCTTTAGCTGTGGCTGTGGCTGTGGCTTCTGCTATTTACTGAAATATTTGTTGACTGCATGCCAAACTGGTTATCTTCAGCCGAAGACTGCGCAAGCCGATCGCAGCTAGAAGCACATGTGAGCAGCACCTCTTGGCTAGGGCGCCATCATCATCGTCATCATCATCATCATGATCATCATCATCAGATGAGAAAGTTGCTGCCAATGCAAATACAAAAACAAAACCACTTTGTCTCCGCTAAGATTCAAGCCCAAGCAAGGCTTCACATGCCAGAGAAAGCGACACAGCTGCCAAAGGGCCTCTAGTCGTCCCCTTGACTTCAACTGACGCGAAAAGCGCTGGAGTGAAATTCAAGGGCCCAAACATGTTAGGGAAGGCAATGCCGTAAATAGGGAAAGTGGAAAACAAGATGAGGATCAGAGGTCTCGACAAGGCTCAAGAAAACATTTTATATGATTGGGAACATCAGTTGAGTCAAGTCGAGTGATAAAGTCAGATCTACAACTGAACTGAACTGAACTGAACTGAACAATTTATATCTCAGATTTTTTGAAAAGTATTTTAAAGTCCAAATCATTCAAATAATTGAGTAATTTGTATCTGAGATTATTTCAAAATATTTTCAAATCAATCAACATATAAACATCTTTATCGTTGATCTTTTTTCAACACATTTTTTAATTAACTTCATCAAATCTGACAATTACTAAATAACATAATTGCTGTCAAATTTTTCGTAGTGTTAGACCAAAGTAATTGCAAAAAACTATGGAACATGAATGTATTTGAAAGTTGAAAACCTATAGAGTCCACAATTGCAGTGCAGACGACGCTTGGCTTTCATGTGTGACTCCAGCAATTGGATTTTCGAATGGATGGCTCGCAGGCTATCAAAAGCTGTAAGCGAGGCGCTTGGCATGCGCAACATCGTCTATGGCCTTTCAAATGAATGAATAATTAACGGCAGCTTTATGGGCCCAAATTAAACCGTTTCGACAACCAGCTGCATTGCTTACTTGTTTTTTTAACCGGTTCAACCGGGTATTTAGCAAACAATGCAAGTAGCATGAGCGGTTATGAGGTAGGCGCGATTACGACTTGGAAAGTTGTGATAAGGCACTTGGAGGGAAAACCATTAACAAAATATTATATATGCCTATATCTCAAGAGTTACGAACTGGTGCGTGATAGCACATATGAAATTATGTAAAGATATCTGACGAGCGATTGGACTTTGAAGTTTGCGAACTAGTTTATATCTGAAGTCTCTGAAGAGTATTGGAATTACGAACTATATATATAGATAAAGATTGGATTTTGGTATTATGAACAGATTCGATATTCAAACTGATAAATCGACTGGATTCTCAGGATACAAACTGTTTGCTGAAATATTGTTTGTTTTCAATATTCCATTATAGATTTAAAATGTTATATTCTGAAAATTGTAACTGAAAATGAAATAAAAATATATAAAGAGGGAACGGGCTTTGTTATAAATATGTATATTGTCTTTTGGATTATGTTTCATGTTTTTCTCTATGTACAAAAAAAAAACAGGTAAAGTAAAATATATCATGGTCGATTTCTGTACAGAGTTGTTCAGTTTAGAAGCTGAATACCAAGGCAGATATGTATATACATATATACATACGTATATATACATAGATAGTGTATAGTGGGTATAGTTAAGATCTACATATGGCATAATGTTGTTTTCTTTTTCATATATATATACAAAATAAGTATGTTTGTTTTTGGGTTTATTAAGGTTTATTGTGCATAAATATTTTACGACTAAAACTAAATGCAATAAACTTAAAATATTTCAAAAGAGAAAAAGTTATTATTTTTGGAATTCGGATTGTTCAAAGAGGAAAAATCAAGTAAAAAAAAAGTTAATAAAATAAAGTAAAATAAAATAAAATAGAATAAAATAAAATAGTTTTTATCAAGTTCGAAAAACTTAAATAAAAAATTGATTTACTTTTACAGCTTGTCTGCTGTGGGATCGTTAGAGATTTCATTGAACCAATTGGGGAGAAGTCATTGCATTTCATTACTGCAGTGTGAGTGTGTGCGCTTGTATGTGTGTATGTGTGGCTTGGTGTGTAGGTGTGTGTGTCAGTAGATGTGTGGGCGTGTGTATGTTTGTATGTATGTATATTATTGTTATTTCTTAAATGGCAGCTTGAAGAATACAAAGTTTAATAGCGTTCAAAAAGCAGCAAGTTTTTGTTGTTGTTTTTTGGCAAAACATTTGGAAAATTAAATGAAAAACTCTCTTTCCATTTCTCATTGTTATTGCAAGAAGAAGAGCGAAAGAAGGCGAAGAAAATGCTCTAATTTCAAAAGGACAGAGTTACGTAGCCGAATATTTACAGGGCGACAGTGTGAGAAGCTTAATGCGTTCGTCTCTCTCTCTCTGTACAAAAAATAAGACTAGAAATAACTAACTACGTTTTTTTCTTTTTTGTTGTTGTTTTTCTTTTGTGTGTGTGTGCATTGCACCTGAGTTAAGGCGCCAATGTGGTTGGTGTTGCTATCGTTGTTGTTGTTGCTATTGTTGTGGTTGTTGTTTCTGTTGTTGTTGTATTGCTGTGAGGCTGACGCTTTCGCTGGCCACGCCCACGACGCGACTTCTTGCGCCGCACCACATGCGTTTCGCTGCTGTAGCTGACCTTTTCGCTAATGCTGGTACTATTTGTGAGTGTCGTGTGAATGTTGCTGTTGTTCATGTTGTTGCTGTTGTGATCAGTGCCACTAATAGCGCCATTTGTTAGTGTATTATCTATCGTTTGTCTGTGAGGGTCCGCGAGCCGATCATGGAACGGCGCCTGCAGCACGGACGCATGCCGCACTGAGAACGCAGAATTCGAGTCGGGGACAGTGTCGGCGGCGGCTTGGGTGGGGCTGCTGCTGCTGCTGGTTGGCGGCAACAGGGTGCTGCTGCTGTCGTCGATGCCGTTCGCAGTTGCTGCAGTGGCACTGGCACTGGCACTGGCATCTGACTCGCCCTCCGGCGTTTGCACCTTGCTTAGTATGACCTTGTCGAGATTGGCTATCGAGATGATTAGGGGTGAGGATTCATTGGATTCGGGACGAAGTAGGGGTACAATGGGTCTTACGTATTGGACGGTTGGCAACGCGGCCGCTGGGGCCGGCTGAGCCGTCGGCGGTTCGGTGTTGTTAATTGCATCCAGTTCGACGTCCAGCGAACGCTCCGTGTTGCTCTCCTTGTCGATGCTATTGAGGTTCAGCTGCTTGGCCTTGCGTTCCGAGTCGAAGAGTCCTTCGAGCGATATGGTTGACGTTTCGTAGGCACTGCGTATCACCTCCGGCAGCAGCGCTTTGCCATTGCGCTCCGGCTCGCTGTCGCCCTCCGTCCGGGGCAGGCTATTGCGCACCGGAGCGGAGTTCTTAGAAGGCGTGCTGGGCTCGGTGGGGGTGTAGTCCGCAACGGTGCTGTGGCCGTCGTTGATCTGAATATCGCTGCCGTCCACCAAATGCACATATTTCACCACACTGATCTCACCTAGCTGCTCGACGTGGGGCAGCGACTCGACGCGCAGCGTGACGAAGTCTTGATTGGCCTTGGACTTGCGCTGGGCGGCCTTGGCCTGCTTGGAGTTTATCTCTACAATGCGATTGATTTCGATGAGCTTATGCTTGGGCTCCACAGCGGTGATCTTACTACCCAGCGGTCGCCCAGTGGGCTCCTGGTCCTCCTCAGCCTCGCCCTCGACCAGGGTGAACACGTGCAGCAGCGTCGTCGCTGGCGGTGGCGACTGCGTCGTCGACGACAACGTGGCCGTCTCTTTGTCCTGTGGGAGTGAAGAGATGTTTGTGGCTTCATTAGCATACATTGGAACAGGGTGCACTGTTGGTGGCTGTGCGGTTTCTTTATCGTTTTCGTTTTCGG